GAGGCACTGAGTATGAGAATTCAGACGACGTACAGTATGAAAGTAGGTGAAATAACATAATGAAATATTTGCATTGTCCCGTAAAACTCAAAAGTGTATCATTGTTATTGGACACTTCGAAAGAAGAAGTCAATGAATGGGATCACTAGTAAAACGCCACACAACTTGTTTAATGAACTTACGCGCAGCTTCCTTACTACACTTACGAGACGAATGACCACAACCGTTGACACGCCCGGAATCACTAATCGTTCAATTAATCAATCAAAAAGAAAGAAAGAGATCTGGGGACGAAGGATGGCCTACCTGGCGCACGCCGCCACTGCTCTGCATCGCAAGATCCGTTGTGGGATACGCGCGCTGCTCCGCAGCCCCACGTCTTTGCTGCAGAAAGCATCCGCTGGAGGGCTCGTACCGTCGGGGCCAGGGCCAAGGACAGAGGTCGCGAAACACCGTTTTTCTTTCTGTTGTCGTAAGTCTCCTCGATGCCTAGAAAGTTCCGATTCATCACATTGATGTTACAATTAGCACTGTACTCTTTCAAAAATAATTTAATAATAAAATAATGTGTTAATTGTGTGCATCGTCAATCGTCAAGTGTGTCGAATGTGTGCATCGTCAAGTTTTCAATGTACCCACTTATCTGTTCCTTTAATGAGAGTAAGTAATTTGTTGACAAATGTTGCAAGGCTTATTTGCTATTGATTTTATTTGATACTATTTTATTTAGTCAAAAACTGTAAAAGCTGTATGTGAGAGAAAGAGATCTGTACACGTTTTCTTGAGGTCTAGGATCTCTTCCTAACATTTTAACTACAAATAAACAGTTGATAGACGAATAAAAGTAAAAAATGAAATAAATAAAATTACAAAAATAAAAATAAAATAACAAAAAAGTGTGAGATTAGCCACATTAGAAAAAATACACATTTTCGCTCCTGGGTTATAGAAAACTTTTTTCATTGGAAAACGAAATGCAGATTTGAGTGTTTTGCAATGCTAACAAAATAGTAACACCCCCCGGCTCGAATGCTGCTACTACAAGCAAAAGGAGTGCTAAACGAAAAGTTCCCATAGTGAATATATCACTTTCATATAGTGTTATATCAAGAGTATTATCCGAGAAAATTTTCCTTCCAAGTGTTGAAGTGAAAATTAATTATGTATTGTGAAGATAAAAGTTGTGGAAAGAATAGTACGTAACTTTCGAATTAATGCCACCAGCTCATTTATTCTTGGCATACTCTTTTGTGTTTAATTTTCTTTTGATAACGTGAATGAAATCGAATAAAACTTGCACTAAAATGTGCCAAAGATCAGTTATGGATACCTCATTGGACAGGTTAGTAATTAATAATTCAGAACTCCAACTATCTACCTCTGGTTGGAGGCATGGTATTTTTGAGAGAAATTAAATTTAGGAGATGCTAATAAAACCATGATAAAGATGCCAAGAAAACCATTTTGTTAGAGTATATCAGATGGTATTGAAAATGTTTATAATATTTTTGATAGTAAAATATTGTTGATTTACGATTGTTGTTTGTTCGAGAGTATTAACGCACAATTCATTATTGGATTTCCAGATAGATATGAGTTCGTATTTTGTTTCTTTGATTGTTCGTTTTGAACTTGTAATATGAATAACGTACAAAAAAATTACATGGGTTTCTGTGGACGTGAATTCGTTTGTTTTATCATAGTAGATCTCGAAATAAGATTACGCTCCCACAACATGTCATATCGAAGAGAATAGGTTAAAGCTATAGTTTTTATTCATTTCGTGCGCAAATTTGAAAGTAGTAATATAGATTTCTTTTCAAATTCCTTGTTATCTGCCTAAACCACAAATACATCTGGAAAGCTGGAGGTTGCGTACTTTCCTTTCAATTTCTGCATATTAAAAAATGTAGCTTATTTTGTATTACTTGTTATGTGTTTTGTCATTGACTTATCAAGCTGATGGCGAAGTTTTTGCTCTCGTAGATTGCTCTCAAAGTACGTCGTTTGCACTCATCAGCTCTGGCCGTGAGTAGCCATTCCCTGTGAGACAAGGGCGGAATACGACTGTCCGAAATGTGAAAACTCTACCTGCTGCTCCACTTGCTCTTTGGAATATTAGCTTTACCTAGCGAAGACACGCATGAAACGAAGATTCACCCAAAGTCCCAAAGTAGACTTTTACAATATTATGGAGGGATTTTGGGGGGGAAAGAACAACTGGCGTTTTCTTCCGCTTATCGTGAAAATAAAGTATCATGTAATCTGTAATAGAAAGAAATAGTGATTTTTGTTTTTAAACGCACGATCTTACAAATAACTCTCTTAAATCCAAACTAAATGGAACTGAATATTCAAAGCGAATACAGTACAACACACTCTACTGAGCTTGCAACGGCTACTGTAGCGGCATGATTTACTCTACGAGTGCCTCCGCTAAACGTAGCGGTTTGACAGGCGCCCCGAGCGCCTGCCAACTGACAGGAACAATACGCACCGCAATGTATTAATACGCATAATGTGTTTTATCCTTGTGAAATTTTTTGCTGTGTAAAATTCATGTGGGAAAAATCAATTCTTGGAAAGATATCGTCAACTCAGCAACATTCTCGCATTCTCACTTTCAATTCTACAGCTCGAAACCACAAAAGGAAATCTAATCAGGTTGATACCAGAATAAGAGCTATTGAGGTTCTTTGCACTTCAAGTTAAAACATTATTTTAAGGAGTACTATATTACATTGCTCGTTTAATACTATATTTTTCCTAAACAATGTACCTATTAACATCTTCAATCGATGTCATCTTGATAATACATTGTAGGATAGTGTTCGCCAACTGGTGGAGAAATGACGTCAAGGCAGCGTTCCACTCCACGAAAAGGCTCTTGGAGAAGCAATGCAAGCAGAGGGGGAAGGGGCGGGAGGGAGTGTTCGTCAGTCTTGGCAGTGGGCCATTGCCTCTGTTTCATACAACAATATGAGCCCATTTATGCTCGTTATTTTCTTTCGATTTGGGAAGAAATGATTCTTTTTGTAGATACCGTAACAGTGGCAAAGAGTTTAGTGTGTTCGAAATAACTGCAGTATGTTAAAAATTTCAGCGTACAGAAGCATTACGCAGCTTTCAACCCAGAGAAACCTGTGAGATGAAATTAATTTCTGGGAATTTACAGATAGCCTGCAATCATGAGATCATGAGATGAGTAAAGAATTTCAGATAGAAGATTATAGAAAAGGTACTGAAAATCACGAGGATTTACAACATTCTCAAACAAAACTGTACATGAAATAATCAAGCCCGGAGTCCGAATTCTCCCACGTGACTCCTCAAAAGTATTTATTTGTTAATATTAATAATTGGTTTGCGTCGAAATAAAATTGTTATAACATTGTATAAATATTATTGTACTAAAATGTGGAAAGTGTTCTCCAAAAATGTTATGTATTAGAAGAATGGAAGTGGAATTACAGGTACTGGTTACGAAAACAGAGTCGGATATTGCTTTGACGTATGTAATAATTTGTTCATTTTTTAAATTCTTCATATTTTATTGAATCATAAACATATGAATATTAGTTACGATTTAAAAACTTAATTATCGAGCGAACGTTTTTCCCGCACTTCCGTACTATCATTGGAACACAGTATGCCCACCGCCGCGTCGGGCACTTCCATTGCTCCGCGGCTTGGCTCGGAGTACGAAAGCAGATTTTTGTGATGCCACAGCGCATTGAGTTGGAAAGCACTGGTATAGTGCATACGCCTACCAGGTGTATGCATAAATCTTTTTTAGTTCTACTAAGAGAAGGCTCCAGTAAACAGTACGAAGCGCATGAATTTGGCACTACGTCAGTTTGTTTATCTGACCTTAACCTACGAACCCAGACAAGTTCATGTCGCCAAACGCTAGCGTCTGTGTTGTGTTGTTCAGTGATCATGTCGACGTGTGAGCCTGAAATGTACATTTGCGACGCGCATTGCTTTTTTTATTTAATCAGAAAAAAGCTGTGGAAATTCATCACTTCAGCGATTAAAACATGTGAGACATGGTTCTGACGTGATGATTTCAAAGTGAAAGATAGTGCGCGCTCTGGTAGACCACAAAAGTGCGAAGACGAGCATTTGCAGGCGTTATTGGATGATGACCCAACTTAAACTCAACAGTAACTGACAAAAACTTTAAATGTGTCACAATAAACTATCAGCACACATTTACGAACTATGGAGAAGATCAATAAACTCGGTAAATGGATCCCAAGCGATTTGACTGAACGGCAAACGAACGACAATGCGCCATCTCACACAGCTAAACCAGTGAAACACACATTTACATCGTTTGAATGGGACATCCTGTTGAACGCGCTGTACTCCCCCAACCTCCTGGCGCCATCTGACCATCACCTCTTTGTATCAATGGGGCTCGCAGAGCAGCACTATAGCAATTTTGAGGAAGTTGCTAAATGGTTCGACGATTCGTTTGCCATAAGACAAGCATTTTTCTGGCATGGTATTCATAACTTACCTGAAAGATGGGCGAAGTGTGAAGAAGCCGATGTTCAATATTTTGAATCAATACAAAATTAATTTCTCCTGAAAATTACATGCTTTCTGTACCACACAAACTTGCAAAAACTTATGCATACACCTGATACACCTCAGGAAAGGCTCAGTTCATTTGGTGATACACAGAGTGGGTGCTTTCTTTGTTCTGATTATGGAAGTATTCGTAATGACGCCCAAACGAAGATAGAAAATATTGTGCCACATTTGGCACAAAACAAAAAAAGTTGTAAAATTCAGTATACAAGCGCCCAGGTGGACAGGCGTGGGTAACTTACTCTATCTATTTAAAAAAGCATCGCCATGTCAGTGCTACGTTTGGCCCGATGCCAAGCGTGCCGGTTTCGGGCACGTCCCAAGAGCGGGAGCATCAAGTCACATAATAGGCTCCCATTCCGCGCGCATCCACGCTTTCTGCCTTCCACCGAACGCTGCGAATGCGAGGCAGAGAGCACGCTCAGCGAAACGCCTGTCACCGCATTGAGATACAGGATACGAAGGATCTACGCGTTGTCATACAGGACGTGGAGCCGGACGCGGAGCGCTCCAAACGAGGAAAACAGATCTCGTATCGGGCGGGAGGTTATTTGACGTCAAACGGGTGAAAGGTCAATCTTTGATGTCCCGAATCTTGATGGAAGTAGTTGCTGTACATTGATTTGCGCAGGCAAGGTCAATCTGAGTGGGGTTGTGGAAGATTGATTTCTGCGAAAATGAAACTCGTTGGGAAGGATACGTTACAGTGCTCTCTATCATGACTAGAGAACAATGTGATCAACGATGTTTAGCTGAATGAAAATTTCAAATTTTTACTTTTAACCGTTCTCTATTTTTTTAAGGGCTAAATTCGAATTTTATGTTTGTCCCCGTTTTGGCCTTGTATGTAGTAATGTACTTTAATACGCAGTGTTGTCAGTACCCAAGATTTGTGAATCATTAATATCGAAAAAAAGAGTTTTCGCTAAAACGTCCATATGTATGTGCGCTTTTCAATTTGAAATAGAAATATTAATTTTCGGGGTACTGTGCATGAAACCCTGGATAAGGTTTTTTGTAAATTTTCTAAAAACTGGTTCGATTGTTTTCTTTCAATTCTTAACTGCATATAGAAATGCAGTAAAATGATATTAAAATGCAGCTGCGCATAAAAATGCAGCTAAGCAATTAAATAAGCATTAAAAATGGAATGTATGTTTATAAAAATTTCACAAGTTCTATTTTCGTTAAAATCTCTGAATTTGCTTCATAAGTGCCCGAGTTCCATTCCCGGCGTTAGTAAACAGTCTTTGGAGGTTGGAAGCAGGTTTGCTGGTCAAATAGTATAATATTACGCACCCGTTTCAAATAATGCGAGAACGAAAGTGGTGTAGTTGCACCGCACTTTTTTAGAAGCGAAACGTGTTGAGATTTACTTCTTTCGTGTTTAGGGGCAGATTTTGATGACCTAAAACATTGCCGAAATTATCAATAATATGCTCTTAAAATGCTATAAAGTGCCTTAAAAACAAAGAAAAATGACGTTAAAAATTTGATCAAAACCACTTCAGACGAACAACTCAAGCTGTTGGATATGTTACTGATGTAATTGAGGCTTCTTTCTTTTGTTCAAAGAAACTCAGCTTGCAAACTTTGGGTTTGGACTGTTTTTTAAAAGAAAATCTCTGCCTTTCTTTATCGCGAAATCGGCCGAACTCACAATTGCGCCAATGTACATTACCTTATATTACATAGTACTTTCAACGACTGACATTACAATGTATGAGTGAAGAATCGAATAGGCTAATCGGGAATTTTGTGGTGAAAATTTGTGCACCTCGTAAATATTGTTTGAAGCAAATACCATTAAAATGATATAAAATGAATTTGATCAACGGAAACTGCAGTAAAAATGACGTAAATAGGTAAAAAAAGACTTAGTAATCGAAATCGACGAAAAATGTAAAAAAATGACATAAAATCGGGTCATTTCCTTTCGTGAAAACATAAAATGAATTTATATAATAAACGGCACTGTTTTAAAGTAAAAAGAAAAAATGACATTTTATTAAAATCCGCCTCCTAGTAATGTCAATAAAATCTAGGGCTTGTTTATCAATAGTTTCTATTTCAAGGGAGCGAACATTTCTCGTAATTAAATTTTGTCAGCACAAGCTATTTTATTCATAATTCAGTAGTGGATAAAAAAGAGGAAAAGGGGATCATGAGCGCAAGAAAAGTTGCGCAGATATTTCTCCTGATCCAACTGCATTTCGTCCACCTGTAGTCCACCGTTCGGTTCTTCGATGCACATGCTGTTGACGGAACTATGCACTGCTCATGCCGTAATGCCCTCTGTCCGCCAATGCTTGAATAAAGCCCAACCTTGAATGAAGTCCTAACCTCTTCTTCACGGATCGCATAGTGACCGCAAATATCTCTAATTTATTCCGGGGATTGATGATAAAAACAAAATATTCGATAATGAAAACAAGAAGTTCATGTTAATGCATGAATATGTATCCTTCCGTACATGTACAAAATTTGTTTCTAATTATTTGTAAAAACGGACACTAAAATAGTATTCTCGTGGTCAGAAACAATTAGAATTTAATAAACAAGACTAGAGACATTGATATTCTTTAAAATTTGTTTCTTTTTTATTTACAGAAGTATTAAATTCCAATGTCCATTAAAAATCCTATAAACTACGAAAAAACCCTATTCAAACCTAACATTTTCCCCTTCTATCTAGTCAATTTTCAATACTCGCAATTTGTTTCGTTGTCGTTTTGTATTTACTTAGTAAGTAACGACGAATGTCAGTGCCGGCGTGATCCCCGATTTAGTATCGCCGTTACTGACCTGTAAGGAAATGCTTCTATAAACCCCCTAGACCTACTTACCCGAAACTAATCGTAGGCAGTTTTAAATACACTCAAATTTGCTCAATTGTAAGTTGCCCGAATGTGGGTCCACGCATCTGTTTCCCCCTCCTACGACTCAGCCCCTGCCCTACCCGGCATATGTGTACGCGAAACGCGACGTTGAAGACGATCGTGACCTATTCGATCGTCTAAGTAGGGCAAGCACGGTCGTGGCCTTTGCGGGGAACCGTCCCGGCATTTGCCATGGATGGCCGAGGGAAACCACGAAAACCCCGGTCAGGACGGTCGTGCGCGGGGATCGAATCCGGGCCTTCCGAATGCGAAGTCAGCGCGCTACGCTCTGAACACTTCGCTCGGTGGAAGTAGGCCCTTTAGTACAGCCTGTTATTAGCCATTGTTTCTTATTTGGCCGTGAGCGCTCGGTTAGCCTCCGCACCAACTGTACATTTGGAATCTGCAACGTACCAGTTACAGGTCAAGATTTACAATACGTTTTTTATTAGTTATTTCGAGTACAATGACAAGGGAGGATTGAATTAGTAGAAAGTAATTTAGAAATAAAATGTTACGTAACCGTTGCAAATGTTACAAATATTACGTAACCGTTGCGTTTAGATATGCGCCATTCTAGCAGTGCACACAATATTTTTAAAAAGAGAAAGTGTAATTTTGATCGGACTGAGAAAGATGTATCATCTTAAGCAACTCACTTCACTTTTACGTTAGTCAACGTAAAAGTATATGTAGTGTAAAAAAAAAGGTGCGTACAGGTGCACTATGCATTCCGACACCCATTTTTGTGGCCAAACTTAATAACTGTAAATTGTGAAGAATGTATTAAGTGCTAATGCTTCTCGCACATTAAAACAACAAAACCACACAATTCTGCTGTAAAAAGTAGAAATTTCACCAAATATTTATATTTTTTTTACTGAAATTTTGAATTAATACATGTCAGATTCACTCCTATTCGCTATGTAGTTATAATGCATCATATAATCATCTTTTACTTTACTAATTAATTTATCATTCTTCAAATCATCTTCTCTATCTTTTCTCTTTCTTCTTCTTCTTTTTCTGCTACTGCTACCACCAATATTTCATCTCTGTGACTTTCGCGTTTTATTTGTTCTTCCTCAGTATAGCTATTATTTCAGAAGGAATATTTAATATGGTTAGGCTTCCTAATACTATCTTCTAAATTAATGCTAAGATCACGTAACTGAAGCGTTGTTGCTTTATTGAATATGTATTCCAAATTATTCTGCCTGACGCTTTTCTTGCCAAATGCAACCGATCACATTTGTATTGTATATTTTATTTGTTACTTTTGACATCTCTTCTTCAACCTAACCTAATGGTAATTCTGTATTTTTAAAGACTTCGTCTTTTGTCTGCAGAGTGGTGTCAGAGTGACTGCAAACGAAGCATTTGAATGATTGACTGATATATCGTATTTTTGCGTAGTCCAAAATGCCTTCAAAACTTTACAAATAATTTACGCATTAATATTTCTAATATTTAGCACACAAACTATGAATGACTTCTTGTAAAAACACTATTCGCTTCAATATGCATTCCAAAATATTTTGTAAAGGAAGTTTCGCAAGTGATGTCGTTTGTAGTAAGTCTATAAGTATATTATTCACACACATACAGTGAGTGTCAAAAGTATTGGAACACCTCTGAAATTTCAAAAAATGAATAAATTTCAGATGTAAAATAAAACACAAACTAAACATTTTAGGTACCATTGAAAACAGTGTATATTTTATAATTGATATTAACAAATTAAAACATAATATAACTTACTGGAAAATTTAAAACAAAATTTGCAAACATTAGGGCGCGAAAAACGGCAGCCAAAAGTATTGGAACAGCCATATGATCGGTGATTAAAAATTAAAAGTGTAACTGTAAACAAATAAATATTTCTTGAGATGTTCTTTGGCATTTATAATGATTCTAGAAGTCTTGCCATTAATGCTACGAGTTTTGTCGTCATATGTGGCAAAATACTGTCTCTTCCTTGTAGAGTGCGCGCTTAAGAATTTTTTTATTCAAAATTAGACTGTCCTTAATGTAATATCCCATATCCCATGGGATTAATGTCCGGAGATTGTGGTGGCGTATCCAGATATAGTGGTGTATTAGAGAGGATCCACATTCTTGTGTTTCAGGCTCCTTGCTTTTGATCATTGTCCTGCTGAAAAAATGAAATCGTCTTTGAGGTCTATTTTTCAGCACTTTTGTGTTGTTTACTTTGCACAATATTGACGTACGCATGATTCATTGTACCATTTATAAAGTGAAGATTCCATACACCAGCATTCATACACGCCCAGATGAGTAGTACACTATCGAGTACAAAACCATCTCTGTATTTCACGTCGGCTGGAGGTTCTCTTCGTGAAATTCCGAGTTTTTTTGTCCGCTCCATACATTTCTCATCTGCACCAAAAATATTAAATTTACTTTCATCAGTAAATGTAAATTGGTTCCACATTTATTGGGAACTGTTTCAATCTTTTTTAGTAAATTCTAAGCGCTTTTTTCTGTTAATGTCATCGATTCAGAGTTTCCTGAAAGCCACGCGACCATAGTACTCCTCTGGTATCTTAGTATTATGCAAACTGTACTTGGAGAAATGTCTATTCCAGAAGCAAGATTTGGAGCTCTAGGTTTTGGAGATACTTTATTGTCACAAAAAAGTTTCTT